CGTCTTCTTTATCGGAGTCATCGTCTACATCAACAACATTTCGTGGAGTTTCTAGTGGAGGATCATAAATGTCGAAGTTCAAATCTCATAACATCATAAGAAAGAAAAATAAGCATTTTTCAGCCATTAACCCTTTGGACCAATCTCATCATGAACGCTGAAACCAAATCAGCAAATAAATGAAATGTACACAGGAATCATCCATGGCCGCTAAACAGATGATCGACAGATGAACTATAAATATCCCAATCAATTTACTGAGCCGATTTAATAATAATAGATATCACCATTAACCATTCAACATCTAATCATCAATGCGATCGCAAAATTGCTTTCTAACTTATAAAAAAACATAAATAGCCCGCATATCTTTAGCACTAACCCACCAACACTATATTCTTAACCTAAACCACTGTTGTGGAGAGAAAACTTAGATCAAACAAATAATAATAAAGTAATTTAACGTCAAAAAGCTATCAATAAAGTAATACATCTTGAAGATAATAATAAAAGATCTAATCATCACAAAAACAAAGTAAAGACAGAAAAATGAACGGATGATTGACTTCATGGCAGAGAAATTTTCTAGGCGGAGAAACTAACCAAGAGGGAGGGGAGGCGGCGTTTCACTTTTTTTTCCCAATTGTATTCTTTCCAATGTGTGGGATAATTTGAGAGAGGAGAACTTATGGTTATATATATAGGTAGTATAATTTGTGGGATAATTATGACCAATTATCCCAATTCTAATTCTACTAGAATTCTACTTGACTAACGCACCAAAAAAATAATACAGTTCTAGTTCTACAAAAGTTCTACTTGACTAACACTATAAAAAAATATCCCATTTCCTAGTTCTATGTGACTAACACCTTAAAAATTTATCCCACAAATTATCCCAGTTCCAGTTTTAAGTTCTAGATGACTAATTATCCCAATTATCAAAGTGTTAGTCATCTAGAACTTAAAATCTGGATGAACCCAAAGAATCTCACCATTCGGGGGTTAGTCATCTATGTGACTATCAAAGTGTTAGTCATCTAGAACTTAAAATCTGGATGAACCCAAAGAATCTCCCAGTTCCAGTTTTAAGTTCTATGTGACTAACCCCCCCTTAAGGTGTTAGTCATCTAGAACTTAAAATCTGGATGAACCCAAAGAATCTCACCATTCGGGGGTTAGTCATCTAGAACTTAAAACTGGAACTGGGATAATTTGTGGGATAAATTTTTAAGGTGTTAGTCACATAGAACTAGGAAATGGGATATTTTTTTATAGTGTTAGTCAAGTAGAACTTTTGTAGAACTAGAACTGTATTATTTTTTTGGTGCGTTAGTCAAGTAGAATTCTAGTAGAATTAGAATTTATCTTCAAGATGTATTACTTTATTGATAGCTTTTTGACGTTTAAATTACTTTATTATTATTTGTTTGATCTAAGTTTTCTCTCCACAACAGTGGTTTAGGTTAAGAATATAGTGTTGGTGGGTTAGTGCTAAAGATATGCGGGCTATTTATGTTTTTTTTATAAGTTAGAAAGCAACTTTGCGATCACATTGATGATTAGATGTTGAATGGTTAATGGTGATATCTATTATTATTAAATCGGCTCAGTAAATTGATTAGGATATTTATAGTTCATCTTTCGATCATCTGTTTAGCGGCCATGGATGGTTCCTATGTACATTTCATTTATTTTCTGATTTGGTTTCAGCGATCATGATGAGATTGGTCCAAAGGGTTAATGGCTGAAAAATGCTTATTTTTTTTTCTTTATGATGTTATGAGATTTGAACTTCGACATTTATGATCCTCCCCTAGAAGCTCCACGAAATGTTGCTGATGCAGACGATGACTCCGATAAAGAAGACGAGATACAGACTCAACGAGCAACTGTAGGAGCTTGGAGAAATTCTATGGCAGATGCCATGTGGGATGATAGAAGCCATGTGGGATGATGGAAGTCGAGTCACTCTAGGGATTTAGATTTTTATTTATTTGTAAATTATTTTATTATTTGAGATGAATAATGATATTTTATTGCATTATATTTTATAGTTATTACTAGAATTTGCTTATCAATATTATATTATTTTTAATATACAATTATTAACAATAGTAATTTATACCCACCATTACCCTCACTAAATTATCCTACCAAATTATGCAACTTTATAATATTATCCATCATTATCCCACCAAATTATCCTACCAAATTATCCCACTTTAAGAATTACCCATCATTGTTCTACTAAATTATCCCAGTGTCAAAAAATTATCCCACTTTACCAATTATCCCAGTTCTACTTAAAAAGTTCTAGGTGACTAACCCCCCCTTAGAAAACTTTAAGAGATAATATTACTTTAAAAATTAAATTAATTACGTTTTCTTTTCAACCCCCTTCTCGATTTCATACAATATGCAAAGAGGATATGTTTAAAACTAATAAAATATTTAATATTTTTTAACGTGTTAGAAAATAGATTTGTAATTTAATATTTAATATTAAACTCCAATGTTTTTTAATTAAAGATAATAACCATAAATTTTAAAATTCAAATAATTGCTCAAGAAATACATCCTCCTCTAACATTACACAGGCAAATCTTGTGTTTTCATGTATGTAATTTCTTTCTACGAATGGTTATAAACAGTTTTGTAATTATTCTGTCTTCCCTTTTTCTTTTTTTTTCTTTTTTTTGTGAAATTGTAACTTTTAGAGAATTGAGCAATATCAAAAGTTCAATATTAACTATCCAATTTGGAAATTCTTCGGAGAATACACTAAGCTTTTGTCATGAGGTAAGCTTAGGTTCTTTGTTTTAGTTAGTAATTTGAAACTTTATAAAAATATTTGTTTTTTTTTTCCTTTAGAAAGTATTAAAGAGATAGAGTCTTGGGTAAAACAAGAAGTTTAAAAAGAGATTGTAGGCTTACAGAAAAGAAAATGTATGTTGAGGTTCGGAATGATGGAATGTAAATTACAAGTATTTATTCAAGATTAGTTTTTGGTATTTATTCATGTAATTTGATTAGTCTTTTATGTGCAAGTTATGATTGTGTTTTCATTAATAATATTGTTAAGCATGTCTTAGTGTAATACAATTGGGCTTTTTGAACATTAATTATCTTATATACAATAAAATAAAACTAACCCTTGAAGTGAATGTGACATATTTGTAAAGACTTAATTATTAACCTTCTACACAATCAAATAGTAAAGTTCATATATTTTATTAATTTTTATAAAAAATTATATAGTTGTTGACATTCATTGTCGTCCAAGCTCTCTAAGCTTCTCTTTTATGTTCATATTGTACCTTAGGGTTGCATTTTTTCATATTGCTACCATAATTTGTACTTTACATATCAATGAAGAAGCCTACGAGAGATGCAAAATGGAATTCGATCAAATGGGCGGTTCAGTTTAGTTGTCTTAGGCTCCTCCATTTTGTGCATAACATCTTGTCACTATAAGATCTCTCGCTATGAACTTATGTTATAATTTAATTATCTATTTTAAATCTAATTTTTGTCTTAATTTGATCTCTACTAAGTATGCAAATACACTTAGCATTCATGTATTGAATGTTAGTCTAAGTGTGTAGACCCAAAGCTGCAATCGAAAAGACGAAGAAAACAGTCAGAAGACT